CATTAACATTTGTTGAGATAATTGATAGGTGTAGTAGCATTCTATTCATCTTATTTTGTGAAAGTGGATTGCTTAGTTTTGTCTTTTGCATCATTGTGGAAGCTAGGTGCTGTCCTTTAATTTCTGGGTGCTTACTTTGCTGATGGTTCATTGTGATGATCTGGTGTGTAGAATAGGTTGAAGTTTTTCCTGTATAGCTGGTCTTGTTGTGGCAAATTTCCTCAATGTTTGCATATCAGTAAAAGATTTGATTTCTCCATCAATTTGAAAGCTTAGCTTAGCAGAATAGAGAACTCAGGGCTGGAAATTGTTCTGTTTAGTAGGTGGAAGGTAGGTCTCTAATGAAAGTTTCATTAGAGAAGTCTGAGTCACCCTCATGGATTTGCCCTGTAGGTCAATTGGCGCTTACTCCTGGCAGCTTGAAGGATCTTTTCTTTTGTCTTGACTTTGGACAGGTTCATCTCAATGTGTCTTGGAGTAGCTCCGTTAGAGTTGAGGCAACCTGGGGTCTGATATCCTTCTGAAAGGCGTGTGTCAGAATCCATGGTCACGTTTAAGAAGTTTTCTTTTTCTTTTTTTTTTTTTTTGCAGTTTTTGGCTGGGGCTGGATATGAACCAGTCATCTCCAGTATATGGGACTGGCACCCTACTCCTTGAGCCACAGGGGCTGCCCAAGAAGTTTTCATTTATAATATTCTCTAGTATGGCTTCCATTCCTTGAGGCATTCTTCTTCCCCTTCTGGGATACCTATAATTTGTATGTTTGAACACTTCATAAAGTCCCATAATTCTGTCATTTAACATTCTGCTTTCTCTCTCTTCTCTTCTTTTCTGCTTCTTTAGCTATCTGAGGTATCTCAAGAGCTTTTTCATCTACCTCTGAGATTCTTTCTTCTGTGTGGTCTAATCTGTTGATACTTGCTGTTGCACCTTTAAGTTTCTTAATTGACTGCTTCAATTCCTTCAGTTCTACTATATCCTTTCTATATGCTTCATACCATTTGTTTGTTTTTGGATTTCCTTTTTGTTATTTTCCACTTTCTCAGCAATTTCCTTCGTTGTTTTCATCATCTGTGTTTTAAATTCCCCTTCTGTCATTTCTAACATTTCTTTATAGATGGAATGTTCTGCAGTAGCTACGTCCTGGTCTCTTGAGGGGGTTGCTCTGGACTGGTTTTTTATGTTGCCAGCATTTTTCTGGTAATTCTTCCTCATGAGTGTTTTCTTTTATCTGTTCTCTTGCCCTAATTTTCCTTTCACTTCCTCTTGCTCTTTAAGTTACTTTGCTTTTGGGCTAAGGTTTTGATGATTCCTTTTGGTGCGGGATCTGAAGCATGAGAAGATTGATGAGCAAGGAGGGAAAAAAGATACAAAAAAAATGCAAAGAAATAAAATTTTAAAAAAAGAAAAAAGAGAAAGGAGAGGAGGTGAGTAAGAGGGAATATTAGCAAAAAGAAGAGAGGCACAGAAAGAGGGTGACAGGACTAATAAAGGTGTACAGTAGGGTACTTGGACGCAAACTTAAAAACCCCCAACCTCCGGGGGTGCTGGGTTGGGTGAGGTCAGCACCTCTTTGCCAACCTGTTCAGACACAGAACCCACAAACGACCTCCACCAAATACAAAGGAAAGACAAAAATACTATAAATCAAAACAACACAAGCAAACAGAAACCCTTACAGGATAAAATTGGGGGGAAAAAAACAAATAATAGGGGCAGAAACACTAGCAAAAATGTTCTTTCACTTCATAGCAAAAATGAAGTTCTTATTAAAGAAGGCAACAATGGAAAATTTTATTTTATTTTTATTATTTTTTTAAAGATAGTCTCACTTTGTCACCCTCAGTAGAGTGCTGTGGCATCACAGCTCACAGCAACCTCTAGCTCTCAGGCCTAGACGATTCTCTTGCCTCAGCTCCCAAGTAGCTGGGATCACAGGCACTCACCACAGTACCAGAGTATTTTTTTGTTGCAGTTTGGCAGGGGCCAGGTTTGAACCTGCCAGCACCCCAACTCATTGGGGCACAGGTGCTGCCCTGGAAAATTTTATTTAAACTAGAAAAAATGAAGAAAGGAAAGAAAAAAAGAAATAAAAATCTTGGAAAATTTTGAAAAAAAAAAGCCATATATATATCTTGCTGAATATTATCTGGGCTACAGGTAATCATACCTCTCTGGGGTATGAGATGTTAATTGCTGATACAGCTGTATGAGATGGAGACTGAAGGCGTCTGCTGATTTCTCAAACCCTGCAGAGTTGAGAGCCTAAATCTCTCCTCATCCTGCTTAAAAGGCACTGTAAACCATTAATCTTGGCTAAGCAGAAGTTTTCCCAGGAAAGCACTTGTCACTGGAATCTCTCCTGAAGTGGCTGCCTCCCAGTGTGCCAAAACCAGTCTCTATGGCCCCCGTGGTTTCAAGGCATCCTGCTACTGCCAAATACTGAAACGTCCGCTCTTCCCCAGCATCTCAGTCCCAGCCTTTGGCACTGCTCAGTCACTAGATCACCAAGGTCTCCCAGTCTGAGCCTGGCTCTGTGACCCTGAGGGCGGAGCCTGCAGCGGCAGTTCTCCCACAATGGCTGTGCATAGCACACAGGCAAACAATATTAGCTTTCTTCCTGCTCAACTGTTCAGTCCTAGACGACACTTAAAGTTATCTGCACTCTCACTCAAGTTCTTCGAAGGTAGTTCAACCCAGTGCCCGAGTCCATAAAAACAGAACAGCCCAAAGGGAAGGCCTTCCCCATTTGTAATCTCACTGCTATTAGTTACAGCAATGGCAGCCATGGCCTCCGACTGAACACACACAACCACTTGCAGTTCTGCACTGCTTTTGTCCTCCTTTGGTCCAGAAGTCTTTCACTATCTCCCCTTGTCCCCAAAAGGATATTTCTGGGCACAGCCCACAAGCTAGAGATGCCTGGAGTCTTCTCTCCCCAACCTCACCATGCCTGGTTGCAAAGAAGCTGTTACTCAACTACCATCTTGCCCGCCCCCGCCCCC